GACGCAAGTTACCATCACATCATTTGAAATGAAGGAGTGCCACCACGTGGCTGTCATCAATTTTTCCAAGATAATGCTTGACTCTATGCCCATTCACTCTAAAAACTTCCCCACTTTTGTTCTTTAAATCAAGGGTACCAAACGGGGTCACACACACTACTTCAAATGGTCCGCTCCACTTTGACTTTAGCTTTCCTGGAAACAACCGTAACCGAGAGTTGAACAAGAGCACCAAATCACCTACTCTAAACTCCTTGCCACGAGTATATTTGTCATGAAGGTATTTCATCTTGTCCTTGTACAAGGACGAACTGGAGTAGGCATGGAAACGGAATTCATCAAGTTCATTAAGTTGCTCCACCCGAAGATTTGCAGCCACATCCCAATCAAGGTTCAACTTTCTCAAGGCTTACATGGCCTTATGCTCTAACTCAACCGGTAAATGGCAAGCTTTCCGGAACACCAACCGATACGGAGACATACCAATCGGAGTTTTATATGCAGTCCTATACGCCCATAGAGCATCATCAAGCTTGTTAGACCAATCGGTCCTATTTGCATTAACTGTTTTAGACAGAATATTCTTGATTTCCCTGTTGGACACTTCAACCTGGCCACTTTCTTGGGGATGATAAGGAGTAGACACTTTGTGGTTAACACCATACTTGGCAAGCAAGGTGTCAAAAGCTCTATTGCAAAAATGCGATCCTCCATCACTAATAATTTCACGAGGAGTGCCAAACATTGTAAAAATGCTCTCTTTAGAAATGCNATTTCAAAAGAAATAAAAAGTAAAAATAAATTAAAAAATTAAAATAATAGAAATAAAATGTTATAAAGAAAATAAATTAAAATAAAAACAAAAAGGAAAGAAACTAAAAAGCAACCTTGTAATTTCACAGTGTAATTACCACCAATTCTCATCTTCCCCTTGAGAATTGGAGAGTGTACTTACACCCCTCCAATTACACTCAATTCCAAGTAATTACTTGGCCAAACAAACATGCATCACTCAAGGTGGCTTTCCAAACAGGCTCTTATTATGTCTTAAGATGTAATTTCTCTTCATTTATTACTTACTCATAATTAAGGTATTTGTAGTTTTCAAGAACAATTAATATTAAGAGTAGAATAGGAAAAAAATAATTAATTTACTCTTGAACTTCTAAAATGACAAATAATTTGAGACAACTATTTTTAAAAACCATGACAGTTAATATAAAACGGAAGAAGTAACTTAAAATAATGTGATAAGATCCTAATATAGTAATGAACAATAGTAATAGGAAATCGAACCTTCACGTACTAATAGGAATAAGAAGAAATGCTTCCTAGGTAATTTTATTGTCTTGTAAACTTAATAGTCTGACAAGTTATGAGCAAATATATGGGCATAAAAGAAGCAATAACAAAGTTGGTCATTCTATTAGGGTGGAGCTACAACGGATTCGGACGAATTCAGTGTCTTTAGTGGGCCGGACTTGTACATATCGTTGATGGGCTCATTTTTCATCTGAGCCCAATTTACATAGTTCGAGGTCGGGCCTAGAGTCTGGGATGAAAGTTTGAGCCCAATTTATAGATAGCTAGATTTACAACCGATAATTGAAAAATTATCACGGTTTTAAAAGTAATCGAAATTTGACTACTTTTTTATGTAAAGATAAAATTTGAACAAAAACACCCTAAAAAATCAAGAAACATCCTAGCATAATATGTTGGAGTTCGAATTATTTATATATGAGCTTCCAACATATTGTGTTGGAATTTCATAATGCACTGGAGTTCCAACATAATATGTGGGAAGTTTACATGCAGGAGCTCCATAATCCCACATATTATGCTGGAACTTTCCATATGTTGGAGTTCCAACATAATATGTTGGAAGTTTATACGCAGGTGCTCCATAATCCGGCATATTACACTGGAACTTTTCGTGTTTCAACAAAAATAGTGGCTATTTTTTAGTGACCTTGCAAATGCTAGCTATTTTTCGATTACCGGTCGGAAAACTGGCTAGCCCGTGTTATTTTCACCAATTTATATAGGTAACTATAGCACAGGCTAGCCAGTTTTCGGATTGGTAGTTAAAAAATAGCCAGTGTTTGCAAAATCATTGAAAACTAGCCCCTATTTTGCTGCAACACGGAAAGTTCCAGCATAATATACTGGAGATTGGTGCACCTGTGTATGAACTTCCAGCATATTATGCTGGAACTCCAACACGCAAAGAGTTCCAGCATAATATACTGGAGATTGGAGCACATGTGTATGAACTTCCAACATATTATGCTAGACCGATATATTATACTAGAGCTCCAGTATATTATGCTGGAGTTCCAGTATATTATGCTGGAGTTTTTCCGAATTTTGAACAGTGTTTCGTTCAGGTTTGAAACTCATTCGGTATTCTCCTGAAGGTAGGCATTTCCCCAAGGGATCTCTCTCGCAATGGATGGTTGCTGTTCTCTTGAAGCTAGCCTTTATTCTTTTTGGAAGTCATGACAGACGGACCCGCTTTGAATTCGCTTCCTGTTTGGCTTGACTTTTCCTTCTTCCCCCTTATGTTATGGAAGAATTGAGCTTATTGCTGGGCTGGTTATTCAGAGCCAGCAATTGGCTGTCGGATCTCGTCCCGCAACTAGAAGAAGATCGCTTCGGAGTCACTGTGGTATGGCTGAATGTAGAGCTATCTTTACATGAAAAGTGGCTACATTTCGATTACTTTTAAAATTTTGGCTATTTTTCAATTACCACTTGTAAATCTAGCTATTTTTAAATTTCATCCTTTATATAGTTCCCCAATTTTTATCCGAGCCCAATTTATATATAGTTCGATTACCGGGCATCAACTCAATCGATAGGTTGAACGAATTTAGGCACTAGTTTTTCAGATTTTTGAAATAAAACTTTTATAGAAGTGCTATACGTCAATAGTTACAGTTAGGGGTGTTCATAAACCGAAAAATCGAACCAAATCGACCGAAAAAATCGATACTTTTTAGGTTTGGTTTGGTTTTGGTTTTGAATTTTAAAAACCGACCAAATTTGGTTTGTTGGTTTTAATAAAAAAATAACCGAAAAAACCGAACCAAACCGACTATAAAGTAGCTATTTAAATTTATTATTAGACCTATATATATATATATATNTGTATATATATATATATATATATATATATATATATAAAGTTTCTAAAATTTTATGGTACATATTAGACATTTGTATTTTTAGTCTAGTTCTTTGCTATTATAATAATCTAATTCTCTGCCTTTACGTTCTAGTTTGATTGGTAGTTTTCTTTTGCTAAGTAGAAGAATTTATTTCATGTTAAAATTATCGCTTTTTAATTGAGTACTTAAATTATTCATCACTATTTGATTAAATTAACATCAATATATCTTGGTAAATGATAGATTTCTCAAAGAGCAGTAGATTTGATAGTGTTACGTTGAAAATATAGTCTCCAGAATATGCGTTTGGTAGTGTTTAAGAAAAAATCGATAAATAACCGAAAAAAACAAAATACCAGAAAAAGCCGACAAAAACCGAATCGATAAAAAACCGACTTAATTGATTTGGTTTCAATATTTGAAAAACCGACTTACTTGGTTTGGTTTTTTTTAGGGAAAAACCGACCCAAACCGAACCATGAACACCCCTAGTTACAGTGTTCCAAAAAACAAAAAGAAGTATCATATTTAAAAAAATTGTTTGATTTTTAAATAATAATAAGGTCAATCAAATTAGGATGAAGCAATAAACAATAATCACATTAAATGCATTATGATTGATTGTAGGCTGTAGCTCTAAAATCCATTCCCAGACTCTCTTGTATTAGTAGTTCATATGTACATGTGTCTGAATGAGTTTCATTCTTTGTTCTTTTTGTGGCTGAGAAAAAAATTTCATTAACCGGTTGAGAGAAATTTATGTATGTCCTCTCATTATGCACAACAGAAGAAAAAGGCAATTGACTGATTCATAGGAAAGAAAAATGAAAATCTTTTTTTGAACATTCTTCTAGATTAACTAATCTCTTTCCCTCTCCCCAAAACACACCATATCTTGTCATCATTTATCAATAAGTTAATTACTTGATCAGATTTTCACATACATATTTGGCATAAAATCAAGAAATTGGATAAGAGAAAAAGAAGAAACAGGAATTATTGGACTGACTATAACATGCCAAGCAAGCTAAAGAAGGCAATTGCTGCAGTGAAAGATCAAACAAGCATTAGCATTGCCAAAGTTTCCAGCAACACTTCCTCAACACTTGAAGTCGCCGTCCTAAAAGCAACCACACACGACGATGTCCCTGTGGATGAACGTTACATACACGAGGTTGTCCAATTAGTCTCTTCCAACAAATCCTACGCGGCTGCATGTGCTCGTGCCATTGGCAAACGCATTGGTCGTACTAGGAATTGGATCGTTGCCCTAAAATCCTTAATGCTTGTCCTAAGAATTTTCCAAGATGGCGATCCTTATTTCCCTCGAGAAGTTCTCCATGCAATGAAAAAAGGTGCCAAAATTCTCAACCTTTCTAATTTTCGCGATGATTCCAATTCTAGCCCTTGGGATTTCACTGCCTTTATTAGAACCTTTGCACTTTATCTTGACGAGCGTTTAGATTGTTTTCTCACTGGGAAGCTACAAAGGCGGTATAATTATAAAGAAAGGGAAAATTCCCGCCATTTTAGGACCAGCAGTAGTAGTAGCAGTAGGAGTAGTAGTAGTAGTAGTATCAGGAGGAGGACTAATGAGGCAATACGCGAAATGAAACCAGCAATGCTACTTGACAAGATTTCGTATTGGCAAAGATTGCTTGAAAGGGCAATTGCTATACGCCCAACTGGTGCAGCCAAGACCAATTGTCTAGTGCAAGTTGCTCTGTACGCTGTGGTACAAGAAAGTTTTGATCTTTATAAGGATGTTTCGGATGGGCTAACTCTTGTTCTTGATAGTTTCTTCCATTTACCATACCAATTATGTGTAAATGCCTTCCAAACATGTGTCAAATCCGCGAAGCAATTTGAGGAAATTAACTCTTTTTACTCCTTCTGTAAAAGCATTGGTGTTGGTAGGACATCAGAATATCCAAGCGTGCAGACGATATCTGAGGAGTTAATTGAGTCATTACAAGAATTTCTCAAAGATCAATCATCATTTCCAGTGAAATCTTCAGGACAATTGCTTCTTCAAAAACCAGGTTCAATGAAGTCGTTAAGAAGTAGGGATGATAGTTATGGTGGACAATCCGAATTCTCAGTTGCAACGACTGAGCCATATTCGGAAAGGAGTACTACTACTTCTGGGATTGGTTCGCCTTGTAGTTCATTAGAAGAGCTAATACGTGCAACGGAAACAGGGAGGAAGAACCCCTCCATTTCAATTGATTTGGAGGCCTATTCGGATATTCAGTTTAGGAAACAATGTAGTGAAGATGTGTGTGATACAGGTTCTGCTAGGTCATTGCCAGTGTCCATGATTGATCTTGTTTCCTCCTCCAATTGGCCAGGAGATTACGAAGACGAAAACAATGAAGTAAAAAGGCAAAATCAGCAACCTGTAGTAGAAAAAGAGAGAGAAGTAAACAAAGATGAAGCTAAACAAGAACAGCCAAAGGAGAAAGAGAAGTCATTATTAGATTCAAGCTCAGCAAAAGGATGGGATGCTGTACTAAATGAGGCTTTAACGCCATCGCCATCACCATCTCCATCTTTTGGCGCCTTTTCAGAACAACAAGAACCTAAACAGATGTCAAGAAATGAAGCAAACGCGTCGTCTGTTGAGGCTACTTCAAACAATGGTTGGGATTTGGGACTATTTGAAGCAACCCCACAAACCAAATCAGAACAACCTATGCCTAATACTACTGCTGACAAAGTTGACAGCTTCAACACATTGCCATTGCCATCTTTCAATGCCTTCCCAGAAAGGCAAGAACCAGAACAAGTGTCAAGAATTGGTGCAAATGTGTTATCTACTGAGGTTTCTTCAAGCAATAATGGTTGGGATTTGGCACTATTTGAAGCAACCCCACAAACAAAAGCATCACAAACCCTGCCTATTACCTCAAACAACGTTAATAGCTTCAACTCTTCAACTTTGGATGAATTGTATAATCAGAATCCAATGTCATTGTTTCCAAATAGTGGCCTAAGTTCACTACCAATGCCTAATATGAACGGCAATATCTATGATCAAAATCCATCCACCACCTTTTTGCCAGCTTCAAATAATGCGTATAATCAAATTCCAGTAATGCCACAACCCCACCATTACAATCCATTTTTACAAGATACGTCGACCGAGTTGCCTTCAAACATGTTCTCATCAACAGCTGCACCTACATTCCAAGCAACACCAACTTTTAGTGCTCAGAATTCTTCTTTGGTAGTGCAGAGTGATGTGAATTCTGATCCATTTGGGACGTTTTCGAGTAGCGAGCAAATGTTAAATGGCACCATAAATCAGAAGAATTTGTTGCATGAACAACAGTTATGGTTACAGAACCAAAACAAGATCATAGCTAAGCATATGTCTTAATTTTGCTAGTGTAAACTTACATGCAAATTTTGTTCTTAAAGTTTTCCTTTTGCTTTTACTCTTCTTTTTGCTCTTGCACTTTTTTATATGCCATCGTTCAATCCGCTTTCTGCATTTTCCTGAGTTTGAACAGGAATAATACATTTGCATGATAAAAGTCAATGTATAAATCATTGCATAAAGGTAAATTGTTTTCAAATATAGAAAGGGTTCATTCTTTTTGACATGGACTAAAAAGAAAATAGGTTCACATAAATTAAAACATAGGAAGTATTAGAAATTTTTTACCTAGTTATGTCTTTAATAGGACTTGACCTGAATAATAGTTCAAATTCAAATTTATCTTAGTGAGAGTGACCTCTAAAATGTGGGGTCCAACCCACTGTTAAAACAAACAATAAAACAAGTGAAATAGGTATGTGCCTATAGATAGGTTAGCAGAGAGACTTGGAGCCAAAGGCTAAATTTGTGGAGGAGAATTAAATTAACAATTCTCCTGTAGCATTCTTGGAGGCTACGTATTTTCTCCTATAAAAGGAGAGCTCTTTCACTTCTTTCAACACACCAACAAAGAGAGAAAGAAAGAGTGAGGAGGCATCACAGACAGGGTATAAGAAAATAGTCTGTGAGGAAAATAGAGAGTGTGAGCGATATTGTAGTGAGATGAAAATATCAAAAGAGGGTTATCTCTTTTGAGTGTTGTAGTGGTCTTTGGAGTATTTTACTCGAGCCTACAAAGTGTAAAATTCCTTGCTATAGTGATATCAGTTGCTCCTTTCGGGGTCGTGGTTTTCCCCCTTATTCAGAAGGGTTTTCCACGTAAAAATCTTGGTGTCGTTGTCACTCTTTTATTCTTGTTGATTGCCGTATCTCAGTGCTACATTATTATTCCGCTTTTATTACCGTGAATATTATTACTGTGGGGGATTTATTCCCAACAATTGGTATCAGAGCACAGGTTCTGCTCGTTCACAGAAATACTATTCACTGTCGGTAGTACTATACTCAGCGAAAAATAAAAATGTTTCAGAGTAAAGTACGAGGTAGCAAAATTCAACGGAGATAACGGTTTCTCAACATGGCAAAGAAGGATGAGGGATTTGCTCATCCAACAAGGATTACACAAGGTACTAGATGCTGATGCCAAAAAGCCTGATACCATGAAAGCTGAGGATTGGGCTGACTTAGATGAAAGGGCTGCTAGTGCAATCAGGTTGCACTTATCAGATGATGTGGTAAATAACATCATGATGAAGACACCGCACGTGGCATTTGGACAAGGTTGGAAAGCCTATATATGTCCAAAATGTGTTTAATATACCTGAAGAAGCAGTTATACGCCCTACACATGGGTGAATGTACGAATTTTTTGTCACATTTAAATGTGTTTAATGGACTAATCACACAGCTCGCCAACCTTAGAGTGAAAATCGAGGAAGAAGATAAAGCGATCTTGCTATTGAACTCGTTGCCATCTTCGTACGATAATTTGGCAACAACCATCCTGCACGGTAAGACTACCATTGAGTTGAAAGATATCACATCGACTCTTCTACTCAATGATAAGATGAGAAAGAAGCTTGAAAATCAAGGACATGCTCTCATCACAGAAGGTAGAGGCAGGAATTATCAAACGAGTTCGAACAACTATGGTAGATCCGGAGCTCGTGAGAAATCTAAGAACCGATGCAAATCAAGAGTCAGAAATTGCTACAATTGTGATCAACCAGGTCACTTCAAAAGAGATTAGTGGCCAGAAGAATGACGACAACACAACCGCCCGTGGTGCAAAACAATGATAATGTTGTCCTCTTTATAAATGAGGAAGAGGAATGCATGCACCTGTCAGGTCCCGAGTCGGAATGGGTGGTTGATACATCAGCATCTTACCATGCCACACCGGTAAGAGATCTTTTTTACAGATATGTAGCAGGTGATTTCGGCACGGTGAGAATGGGTAACACAAGTTACTTAAAGATTGTAGGGATTAGTGACATTTGTATCAAGACAAATGTCGGATGCACATTGGTTCTAAAGGATGTGCGGTATGTACCAGATTTGTGGATAAATTTGATCTCGAGAATTGCTTTAGATCGAGATGGGTACGAGAACTATTTTGCAAATCAAAAGTGAAGACTCACCAAGGAATCATTGGTGATTGCAAAGGGGGTTGCTCGTGGCACGTTGTACAGGACAAATGCAGAAATATGCCAAGGTGAATTGAACGCGGCACAAGATGAGATTTCTGCAGATTTGTGGCACAAAAGAATGGGTCATATGAGCGAGAAGGGATTGCAGATTCTTTCCTGGAAATCACTCATTTCTAATGCCCAAGGTACAACGATAAAACCTTGTGACTACTGTTTATTTAGTAAGGAGCATAGAGTCTCATTTCAGACATCGTCTGAAAGAAAATTGAATATACTTGATTTAGTATATTCCGATGTTTGTGGTCCAATGGAAATTGAATCGATGGGCGGTAACAAATATTTTGTTACTTTTATTGATGATGCTTCACGAAAATTATGGGTTTATATTTTGAAAACCAAAGATCAGGTGTTTCAAGTTTTCTAGAAGTTTCATGCTCTAGTAGAAAAGGATACGGGTCGAAAGCTAAAGCGTCTCCGAAGTGATAATAGAGGTGAGTACACTTCAAGAGAATTTGAAGATTACTGTTCAAGTCACGGGATCAGACATGAAAAGACAGTTCCTGGAACCCCACAGCACAATGGCGTAGCCGAGAGGATGAACCACACCATTGTTGAGAAAGTGAGAAGCATGCTCAGAATGGCAAAACTGCCTAAGTCATTATGGGGTGAAGCAGTTCAGATAGCCTGTTACCTGATCAATAGAAGTCCATCTGTTCCGTTGGCGTTTGACATCCTAGAGAGAGTTTGGACCAACAAGGAGGTGTCCGACTCACACCTGAAGGTGTTCGGTTGCAGAGCTTTTGCACATGTATCAAAGGAGCAGAGAACAAAGCTGGATGCTAAATCTGTTCCCTGTATATTCATTGGATATGGAGATGAAGAGTTCGGATACAGATTGTAGGATCCTGTAAAGAAGAAGGTCATCAGCAGCTGAGATGTAGTCTTCCGAGAAAGTGAAGTTGGAACTGCTGCTGATATGTCAGAGAAGGCCAAGAATGGTATAATTCCTAACCTTGTTATTATTCCTTCTACTTCTAACAATCCCACAAGTGCAGAAAGTAGGACCGACGAGGTTGCCGAGCAGGGGGAGCAACCTGGTGAGGTTATTGAGCAGGGGGAGCAATTTGATGAAGGTGTCGAGGAAGTGGAGCACCCCACTCAGGAAGAAGAACAACCTCAACCTCTGAGGAGATCAGAGAGGCCAAGGGTAGAGTCATGCAGGTACCCTTCCATAGAGTATGTCCTCATCAGTGATGAAGGAGAGCCAGAAAGTCTTAAGGAGGTGCTGTCCCATCCAAAAAAGAACCAGTGGATGAAAGCCATGCAAGAAGAGATGGAATCTCTACAGAAAAATGGCACGTACAAGCTGATTGAACTTCCAAAGGGTAAAAGACCACTCAAATGCAAATGGGTCTTTAAACTCAAGAAATACGGAAATGGAAAACTGGTCAGATACAAAGCTCGATTGGTGGTGAAAGGCTTCGAACAGAAGAAAGGTATTGATTTTGACGAAATTTTCTCACCTGTTGTCAAAATGACTTCTATTCGAACAATCTTGAGCTTAGCAGCTAGCCTAGATCTTGAAGTGGAGTAGTTGGATGTGAAAACTGAATTTCTTCATAGAGATTTGGAAGAGGAGATTTATATGGAGCAGCCAGAAGCATTTGAAGTAGCTGGAATGAAACACATGGTGTGCAAATTGAACACGAGTCTTTATAGGTTGAAGCAGGCACCAAGGCAGTGGTATATGAAGTTTGACTCCTTCATGAAAAGTCAAACATACATAAAGACCTATTCTGATCCATGTATATACTTTAAAAGATTTTCTGATAACAACTTTATTATATTGTTGTTGTACGTGGATGACATGTTGATTGTAGGACAAGACAAGGAGCTGATTGCAAAGTTGAAGAAAGATTTGTCCAAGTCATTTGACATGAAGGACTTGGGCCCAGCACAACAAATTTTGGGGATGAAGATAGTTCGAGAGTGAACAAGCACAAAGTTGTGGCTATCTCAGGAGAAGTACATTGAACATGTACTGGAACGCTTGCTAAACCAGTCAACACACCTCTTGGTGGTCATCTGAAGTTGAGCAAGAAGATGTGTCCTACAACAGTGGAGGAGAAAGGGAACATGGCTAGAGTTCCTTATTCTTCAGCAGTCGGAAGCTTGATGTATTCAATGGTATGCAACAGACCTGATATTGCTCATGCCGTGGTGTTGTTAGCAGGTTCCTTGAAAATCCCGGAAAAGAACATTGGGAAGCAGTCAAGTGGATACTCAGGTACCTAAGAGGTACCACAGGAGATTGCTTGTGTTTTGGAGGATATGATCCAATGTTGAAGGGCTACACGGATGCTGATATGGCAGGTGATCTTGATAATCGTAAATCTACTACTGGATACATGTTCACTTTTTCAGGGGGAGCTATATCCTGGCAGTCGAAGTTGCAGAAGTGTGTCGCACTCTCTACAACTGAAGCGGAGTATATTGCCTCTACTGAAGCTGGCAAGGAGATAGTATGGCTAAAACGATTTCTTCAAGAACTTGGATTGCACCAGAAGGATTATACAGTCTATTGTGACAGTCAAAGTGCAATAGACTTGAGCAAAAACACCATGTATCATGCAAGGACGAAGTATATCGACGTGAGATATCACAAGATTCGAGAAAAGATAGAGAATGGATCTATGCAGGTCAAGAAGATCCATACAAGTGAGAATCCTTCGGATATGCTGACCAAGGTGGTACCAAGAGACAAGTTCGAGCTATGCAAAGAACTTGTCGGCATGCACTCCAACTAGCAACCCCAGTATTACCTCCTTCCGGTGAATGGGTCTGGAGGAGGAGATTGTGGGGTCCAACCCATTGTT